TGCATTTAAATTTTTGAAAATAAAAGTTGGCTGAAAAGCATGAAGCCGGGACAGAGTTCCACAAACAAGAAGTGTGAGAAAAGAAACTGTTAGCATAGAACTTACGGTTACATCTACCCAATTCAGCTATCGATGAGACCTTATTGCTAGTCTTGTACTGCGCTCATATTTATAAAGTCTAGGTACCATAGCGAAGGGCATTATTTATTTGTAAATTTACAAAATGTGGTACAAGGCAAAAATGAAAAATGTGGAAAAGGACAGTCTTCATCTGTCTTAAATTTAAACTTATCTAGCCACCAACACTGACCCAAACATAAAACAATATTCCTTTCACCAAAACAACGCATTCTTACTTACCTTTCTTACTACATCCACCATAATGCCTCAGAGTCTCCATGGGGTCCTAACTAGTCCCTATATGTACAATTAATTCTCTATGAGGTAGGGTGGGGATAAAATGATATATAATACACCTTTGTGCAAATTAATTAAAGCAAAACGAATAATTCCGTCATCATTTATTATTTTTCGTATTTTTCCTATGAAACATGACTGAGTGTACATGTTAGTATTTCGTATGTCCATTCCACGAAGTCTTTCCTTGCAGATTGACCACAGATTCTCGATTAGATTTTTATCAGGAGAGTTTCGGGGCCAGTCTATAGTACTTCGATTTGCTCACCGATAAGGTTTGCCATTGTTTTCGTGCAGCGTTACGATTTTCGTACGCTGCCTTGGAGTAACGTCCATCGCAGACAATGGCCTTAGGGCAACTAATCGACAGTCGAGACAGTAGTGTCTGGCCGAGATAAAAATCTGATGCAATCCCGGATGACGCAATATTTTTCAAGTCCAAACAAATTTCATCATACACCCCGAAAATAGATTCATGTTACTGCACACCACTGCAAATGACCTAATTTGAGGAAAAGTTAGAAATCGATTACACCCTGTCACTCCAGTGGGTCTAAAAATGACCGTACGGTGAAAGTAAGGACACTAAAGGGGGTGTTTCAGTTAATTTTCAAAAAGGTGTAGTAGTAGTAGTAGTAGTAGTAGTAATAATAATAATAATAATAATAATAAGCTCTGAAAATACAATCAATTTGATGTAGAAATATAAAAATGTCGTATTTGAGGGGATCAATAACTCCTGTTATAGTTGGAGCCGTTGGATTAATTGGAAAAGATTCCAATAGACTCGTTGAAGGAATCCCTGGTAATCCATGCCTTAAAGAAATACAAAAAAATTATACTCACAAGTACAGGCCAAACCTTAAGAAGAGCTTTATCTATGCAAAATATGTGTGATTTTAGGTCGTTGTTTTTTTCCCAAAACAAATCGCTCAGTGGAAAATATCAGCCATTTCTGACCTTAGGTCTCTGGCTGGGACCAAAAATAAAATAAATTAAAATATTAATAATCATTAGGAACAGCCGCCAAATTTTCGCGGTTTTCTTATCCGAATTTTGTTATGAATCATAATTCTTATGTTAATGATTGAATAAACTCCTTGTGAGTTCCAAGACAATAAAATATCCATGTAAATTCCTCTATTGCACCGTTAAATATTTTGATCTAAAGAACTTTAACAAAATCTTACAATAAATGTGAATGTAGGTCATTATTTAAAAAAGTAAGGGTATACAAATGAAAAGATTCAAAATTAAAATATGTTTCTTTCTAGTATAGCAGACATTAAACCCATAAGTGTATTATCGTCGCTTTTATCTTCCTTTTCTTTCTTTCTTTCTTTTTCTTTCTTCCACCCTTCCCCTCTTTTCTTTCTTTCTTTCTTTCTTTCTTCCCTCCTTCCTTCCTTTTCTTTCTTCATTTCTTTTTTTCTTCTTTGTCTTTCTTTCTTCCCTCCTTCCTTCCTTTTCTTTCTTTCTTTCTTCCCGCCTCCCTCCCTTTTCTTTCTTTCTTTCTTTTTCTTTCTTCCACCCTTCCTCCCTTTTCTTTCTTTCTTTCTTTCTTTCTTTATTTCTTTCTTTCTTCACTCCTTCCTTCCTTTTCTTTCTTTCTTTCTTTTCTTTCTTTCTTTCTTTCTACCAACCTCTTAAAACAAAACATTACCTTTCATTTTATTCCGTTTATCTTAGTAATGAAACTAAAATGTCCTATATTTCACCTGAGGTAATGGCAGGGCGTAACGTACGTGCTAAGAGACGAAAAAAAAAACAAACAGAATCATAATAATAACGTTGCTGATGAAATGGCATGGCTTCTCGTTTCCTTTTCCGCATTTTTTTTTTATTTTTTTTATTATTTAATTCAGAATAAACCTTCTTTTAAACTAGACGCTATCCAAGGTTAAAGACGCCCAGTCGGTTTTTAACCTTTACGCGAAGAGAGAGGAGATGGACTCGTGCCTTTCCCAAGTGGATTAGTGCGAAAGTGAAACGAAGTAAACAAAGTCAAAATTTGAACTCTGCTCTCCGAATCCACTTCCCACCCAATAACTGTTAAGATATCTAACAGAACGCCCACTCGTTTTTAATGCGACACACTACATTTTTTTTAATGTAGGGATCCCACATGTACATGAGACCAGACTTCGAAAATAATCCATTTTTTACTGTTAATACTACTAATGCTGCTGCTGCTACTACTATTGCTACTACTACTACTACTACTGCTACTGCTACTACTACTACTACTAATAATAATAATAATAAATGTTGCCCTTAAATAGGACAATAATGTAACGTTTGGAACGGACTTACACTGCGAATGAACAGAAATGTTTCCATTTAAAAAGGCTCATTGCAAATCAGCCTGAATCGTAATCTTTATTATGGTTCAATACCCACAAAACCAACCTACGAACCTTAAATAGTGCTCAATTATGTGTCTTCCCAATCTCCAGGGCCGCATATGGCTTTGAATTCCCCGTTGTCCGTCCTCTATTCTGATTGCCAAGCGGAAAAAAAACGGTCTTTGTTATTTAATCCATAGCTGGTGAGGTGATGCATTCATAATATCTCCATCCCAAAAAGATATTTGTACGAAAATGAATGCAACGATTTCGACCTGAATTCGAACTTGGTTTGCCAGTTTCTCGTTGTGAGTCTCTGCCCTCCTCTGCACATCAACACCACAAATATGCAACTAAGTGTAACTAACACGCACAACAAGAAAAAAATTGATGAAGAAAAAGAAATAATTTAAGCTCCAAATCGTAAAAAAGATTACATCATCGTCTAAAAAAAAAAAGAAATTAAAAAAAAAAAAAAATGGTTGTTTTCCGAGTAGAATTATTAAAATTTAAAAATAATTTATAAAGTGAATGTTTCTTCGATTTTATTTTTGCAACTAGCACCTGTTGAATAACAATTTCCATCTCCGTTTAACGTTGGGGGCAAACTTTAAACATTTTTCTCAGCGTACTGCCTCTTCTCACCTCTCAATGTCTTCATTACCGAAAGGAAAACAAAAGTACTACTACAGTTTGTTTATCTAAACGTACTACTGCTATAACACATCAATAAGTATATAAAAACGCGTAATGAGAGTCAATATACTTTGTGCCTATGAAATGCAGAGCCTTTAGCGTATTATTATAGATATATATATTTTTTTAATGTATTTTTGTATCTTATAACATGTTAAGTAATTGATACTTTGTACAGAGGAAAAGAAAGTACGTAGAACATAAAAAGAAAGCGATAGCGAAAAGAAAAATGGTGAATAAGAAAAGAGCATTAAAAAAAAAAAGAGGAAAAGATTAAAGAAAAAAATTCTCGACTAAAAGAAAAAAATTATTAGAAAAAAAAAAAACACCAAAAGAGAGAAAAAAGGAATGCTAAAGATTTAGAAGGAAAATGTAAGGAAAAAAAAGAGATGATAAAAAGAAACAAAGATAAAAAGTAAGCAATAAAGGGAAAAGGAAGGAAGGAAGGAAGGAAGGAAGGAAGGAAGGAAGGAAGGAAGGAAGGAGAGGAACTAAGAGGATTAAAAGAAAGAAAGAAAGAAAGAAAGAAAGAAAGAAAGAAAGAAAGAAAGATATACAATAAGGACGCAAGAAGAGTTAGGAGAAGCGAGGAAGGAAGGAAGGAAGGAAGGAAGGAAGGAAGGAAGGAAGGAAGGAAGGAAGAGATAAAAAAAAAAGACGAAAACTGCAGCTGACAATTCAGCTCAGCGAATACACACCGTCCAAACCGCCGACCCTAATGTCTGTCTGAAAAAAAGAAAACCACAGACAATAATAACCACACGGACGCACACACATACACGCACACAAACATACACACATACACGCACACACACAAACACGCGCGTGCGCGCACACAAACACACAAGCATCTGCATTATTTTACAAGCGTTCAACTTTTGTTTGATGTGCAGGAGGATCGTCGTCGTGCGGTTGTCGCTGCTCTCAACGCGGGAAAGGGAGGCAACATGACGCTTGCTGATTTCAGATTTCAATTCAGCGTTTCTCTCGGGTGCATACATGCACACATCATGTAGACAAGGTGCACACCCTGCCACCCCAACTGTAAAAATAATGACAGGGAAGTGACAATATACTCAAATCCACCACCTGCCATGAATATCATCGGCGTCGTCATTATCATTGTTTCGCGTTTTCTTTCTCTCCCTATCCAAATCTACTAATAATATCTATCTATCTATCTATCTATCTATCTATCTATCTATCTATCTATCTATCTATCTAATTCTGTTCATTATCTATCTATCTATCTATCTATCTATCTATCTATCTATCTATCTATCTATCTATCTATCTAAATCTGTTCATTATCTATCTATCTATCTATCTATCTATCTATCTATCTATCTATCTATCTATCTAATTCTGTTCATTATCTATCTATCTATCTATCTATCTTTCTGCTCATTATCTACTTGTCTATCTATTTCTATTCGTTATGTCTTTTCATTATCTATCTCTGTTCCTTATCGATGTATTCATTATCTATTGAACTCTTTTTTTCTTTCTCTCACTCTCTAGTCTCTATCTACTTCGTTATTG